CATATTACAAACTCTGTCAATAGGAAGCAAATTGCCTCCCTTCCCATGGTCACTTTATAGAGGAAGTGTTAATGACCAACATAAATGCCAAGAGTCAATAGGAATAACCGTATGGAAACAATACTCTAGTTAATTAGCTTCTAAATAGTAATATTAAACTATATGTGTTGAAAGGAAAAAATGGAAAAGCCTTCTGGATCTTGTTTTGTTATGTTTAAAGAAGACAATATCATTCTCCAATATCAGTGTTTCTCTCTTACCTTACCTTCTCTTTGTTTTCCCACTCTGCAGTTCTTCATCCAGTCTTTTCATCCAACCTTCTCCCTTTACCTCATCTACTACCCTGACAAAGCTCAGCATGGTAAGGGATGCAAATAAACTGGGAAGAAAATATTGTAGGTATATAAAACTATATATTAAATTCTAAATTACTTTATCTGTCACTTGGCTAATGAATATTTATTGTATGCCTGATACCTACCAGACAATATCATGCATTCAGATGTAGACATCCTTATCAAAATAGTTCCTTTCCTTATGGAGTTTACTCTCAACATTTACAGTGAAGGAAAACTGCACCAGTATTTACTAGCTATTAAGAAACTGTTATGTGCAAAATGTTGAGAGTAGATTTTCATAGTGCTAGGGAAATGTATAATTTGGGGATCCAGCTTATTTACATGCATTAGGAAATGTTTACTGGCATAGCAATATTCCTACTGGGATTTGAAGGAGGACTACCATTCAGATAAGTTAAAGAGAAGGGGCAGATTCCAAGAAAATGGAACAGTATGCACAGAAGCAGTTAAACAGGAGAAAGCCTCGTCTGCTCAAACAGAAAGCCAGAGTGGCTGGCATGAACTGAGCAAATAGTAGATTTGTGCATATGGAGACTAGAAAGGCAACTAAAGGTCAGGTTGTTGGAATTTGGGGGCCATTATTTGAAGGCCCATTCGAAGCTGTTGAAAGATTTTCAGAGAGAAATGAGATATTCAAATCTGTATTTTAAAAAGGGTATATACTGGAGAATGGAGAAGAGGAGGCAGAGTAAGTTTGGCTATGATGACTGCCGCCTAGTTGAGGACACTGACAATCAATGCAGGTAGAACTGAATGGATTCCAGAGTTATTTTGGTGGTGGAATTAAATTGGGCAGAAGGAGGAAAGAAGAGTCTAGAATTATGCTTATTTTTTGGATTAAATATATAATGGATAGTAGAGAGTTTTATTGAACTTGAGAAAACTAGAAAGCAAATTTCTTAGATGGGAATATATACATATATATAATCACAAAGCTGACCTAAACTAAACAGGTAAGTGAATATTAAGTATTTAATTATCAAGAATTTTAATTGCCCTTCTTAGAGATTATAAGAATTATAAGAATTCTGGGTAGATGATTCAGATGGCCCATTTCTTACTAAAACTCTTCCAATTTTGCATAAACATCTAAGGCATCTAAAATAAAACAGAATTATTTTCAAATCTGGATGTGCTCAGTAATTATTTTCTCATGAAGAAAAAAAAATGCCATGTTTAAAGGAAAGGCTGAACAAGTATAGCTTACATCTTGCTGAATTCATAATTATAAGAGGAATTTCTAGTTGTGGAAATAATATCATCAGGAAACAATAAGAGCGTTAAGCCATTTTTTCTCATCCATCCCTTTTGCCACTGACTCTGCCACTGTAATTTTCAGTTTTGGCTTATAATTCTGTGTTCTCTACACAATAGGCTCTGACATTATGTCTCTCCCAGACACATAAACCCAAAAACTGCCATCTGCTCACCCAAAATGGTTTTGAATATCCTTTCTCTAAAATAAAGCCCAGGTTTATTACCTCAAAAGATTTTTTCCATACTACAACCATCGATTTGGATTCAGTAATCCAAAAACCAATCATTCATTCAAGTTTAGTATAATATTTTGAGAAAAGCAGTCTGCTAAGTGCTGAGCTGAATCATACAAACATTAACTTACTGTACTTCACAATGGTTGAAATCTTGCTGGATTGGTAGCAGAGTGCTTGTACAATTTTGGAAAGACTAAACAAGTGTAAAATTATTAGCACCAAGTTTTAAATTAACTTACCAATAAGTTACTATTAAACAGTTCTAATATAGGCCTATAAGAATCTTACTGGCTTGCACAGTTGTCTCTTCCATCAATAAAGGGGCAAACAATATGATAAAATCTAAGAGATCTTAGCATTTTAATTTAGTAGTAACATTGAAAGCTTACATTAACTAATTAAATACAGAGCCTAATCTCAACATTTTAATGCATTCAAATACTTACAAGTTAATCAATTAATCTATCACTTACACTTGGAATATCTCTTCACCACCATCACTTTCACTCCCTGCCAACCTTGAGGGATCATTAGAGATAAGATGCATGTTAAGATTAGTAACTGTAGCGGCGCCTGGGTGGCTCAGTCGTTAAGCGTCTGCCTTTGGCTCAGGTCATTATCCCAGGGTCCTGGGATCGAGCCCCACATCGAGCCCCACATCGAGCCCCTCATCAGGCTCCCTGCTCAGCAGGAAGTCTGCTCCTCCCTCTCCCACTCCCCCCTGCTTGTGTTCCTGCTCTCACTGTCTCTCTCTGTCAAATAAATAAATAAAATCTTAAAAAAAAAAAGATTGGTAACTGTAAAAAAGAGATATGTTATTAACAATTCTCCTACATGAGGACACCATTTTGTCCTGCCTAACTTTTGAAAGTTGTTTTCCAGTGATTATACAATTCTATTCAGATTTTGGGAGCTATACACTAAATCTTATATACTATATATTACAAATATATAAATATAAAATATTTGTCAACTTTTTAAAGGTGAATAAAAATGGGATAAAATCTTAGGATGCATTCATGGATCACATATACCTTATTGTTTCTTTGATATATTTCCTGGCCTGGTGTTAGCAATTAATTCGAATCATGTAAAAAAATTTTTTTAAAGATTTTATTTATTTATTTGACAGAGAGACACAGCGAGAGAGGGAACACAAGCAGGGGGAGTGGGAGAGGGAGAAGCAGGCTTCCCGCAGAGCAGGGAGCCCTATGCGGGGCTCGATCCCAGGACCCTGGGATCATGACCTGAGCCAAAGGCAAACACTTAACAACTGAGCCACCCAGGCGCCCCGAATTATGTAAAATTTATAATGCTAACATGGTCTTCTGGTTTCAGATGGCAAACTTGGCACAAATATTCACCTCTTCTTACTCCTAAGTTCAGAAAATCTTGCAGGTTTTACAAAAGCACAGAATATCAGAAAAAATAAAAGTAGAATTTTCAGGAAAAATTTTTAAAAGTTATCCAGGAAAGTCATAGTCCAAGTATGATGTGATGTGTTGAAATCAGAGTAAGAAGTCAGCAGGTATGAGGAAGAAGAATGCAACAGATACCATGAAATAGAATGATTAAATAAGATGCTGAAAATAAAAGATATGGTGAGGAAGGTATCATTCAAAAAGAAAAAATAAAAGATAATAAGCAATTCCAAGGAAAATAAAGCTATATAAGAAAAGCATGAAAAAAATGTAGAAATTTAAAACATGATATGATTTTGAGAAGTCAACATATAGTATATATTACTTTTTTCTACATTTCACTGGCTATAACTCAGTTGTGGCAAGCTGCAGCTAGAAATTTGGTTAGTTGTACTAAAAATAGTTTGATGAGCACCTAAGTCATACCTTACACAGTTACTGTGAAATGGTTAACAGTTTAAACTCTTATTTTTCATTCCATGATTCTCAGATTTGATTTTTTGATTCCTCACTTTGCAAGATGATAATGTTATCATTTTCCCACCTCTCATTACTCTATCATCCAGTTTCTGCCACCAGTACATTATATTTTAATTGCAAAGTTGGTAATATTTACCTTATATTCAATAATAACAATTAAGCTTGCTGTCTTTTGAATATTAGTTATCATAAAAGCTTATAGTCCATAACAGCATTTATCTCATTATAACTATATAAATACTGTTCATTACAGAGACACACTGTGTTCTCTTGTATTTTTTTCAGTCTTATTTGCACCTCACAGGGGAGAATATTTATGGATTTTTCTTATCTAACCCTTTAACCAGTCTGAACAACAAAGAGAATATACACACCAATAAATAGATACATGATGATGATGATAGATGATAGATAGATAGATAGGTAGATAGATAGATAGATAGATAGATAGATAGATAGATAGATAGATAGACAAACTATCAGGGATTTCTGGGACTATAACAAAAGATTTAACATTCTTGCTATCAGAGTCTCAGGGGAAGAGAAAAAAATTGAAGCTGGAAAAGTACTAAAAGAAATCATGGCTAAATACTTCCTGAATCTGGCAAGGAGCATAAACTTTCATATTCAAGAAATTGAGTGAACCATAAACAAGATAAACCCAAAGAAATCTATGCCAAGACATATCATAATGAAAGTTTAAAAACTAAAGACAAATCTTAGAAATGACTAGAGAAAAAGAATACTTTACCATAGAGGGCAGAAGGGAGTGGCACAGTATTTTTCTAGGGCAACAACAACAACAGAACTCTGTCAACCTAGAGTCCTATACACAATAAATATATCCTTCAACAATGAAGAAAAATTCAAGATATCATCAGATGAAGGAAAACTAAGAAAATGTGTTGCTAAGGAACACAGTAAGGAAAATTATGGGCAAATAAAATAGACTTCCCTTCTCTTTAGTTTTTAAAATTATTGATGGTTGAAGCAAAAATTCTAACACTGATATGGTTTGAAATATATGTAAAGGAAATATTTTTAAATATTATAAATGGGAGAATAAAAAGAGATAAAGGGAGATGAGTTTTCTACTTTTAACTTAAACTACTGAAGAAATAACATCAATAGACTGTGAGACATATCACAGTATAGAGATAGATATAAAGATATAATACAAATATATAGATATCACACACACACACATATAGATAATGTAATAGAACAACCACTAAATAGCCATACAGAAAAATACAGTCAAAAACAATATAGACCTCTGCAAGCTGGCAGTCAACACGGTGCCCTTCCCACTTTTCCACTTCTTCATGCCTGGCTTCTGACCAGCCATGGAAGCCAGCAGTATCAGGCCGTCACTGTACCCGAACTCAGCCAGCAGGTCTTTCATGTCAAGAACAGGCTGACTGCCTGTGACCCCAGCCATGGCCATTACCTCACCACGGCTGCTGTCTTTCATGGGCAGATGTCCATGAAGGAGGTAGATGAGCAGATGCTCAATGCACAAAGCAAGAATAGCAGCTATATCATGGAATGGATCCCCAACAACGTCAAGACAGCTGTCTGCAATATCCCACCCCATGGCCTCAAGATGGCAGTCACCTTCACTGGAAATAGCACATCCTTGCAGGAGCTCTTCAGACACATCTCAGAGCAGTCCGGGGCCACATTCTGGCGCTGGTACACAGATGAGGGCACGGATGAGATGGAATTCACTGAAGCTGAGAACAACATGAACAACCTTGTTTTCGAGTACCAGCAGTACCAGATGCCACAGCAGCGGAAGAGGAGGATTAAGGCAGAGACCGTCACCTCAGACTTCTCAGTTCCCTCAGCCTTCTTCCTCAACTGCCCCTGTTCTGTCCCTCAGAATTTGCATTTTCTGCCTCTATCTTGTTTTATTTGTTTGTTTCCTTTTTTAGAGGGTGTGGTCCTAGATTAGTGCTTGGCACATAATAGAAGCTCAATATTTTATTGTTTTTTCAATGTCTGCTCTCCCACCCTTGGGAAACCTAGATTTCTGCCAATCTAGGTAACCCTGTATTTCCTTTTGGTGTCCAATTCTCCCATCTGTCCAGCTGATATTTCCCTTTGCTTTTTTAAGGTAATTATCCAAGAAGCTGGTTCTCATCAGATCCCATTTAGAACCATGTGCTGAAAACTCGGATAAATGGCCATCATCCTCAGCCTGTGTGGTAACTCAGGGGAAAGGAAACCAAATTACCTCATAGCAGGTAGAGGTACATAGGAGGAAGGGGTAGGGTTTTTTAATCTAGAGCAGTTTTGGAGAGGGATACAGGCTATTGAAGTCCTAATTTCCAGGAATTTACCTGCTCCTCTCTCAGCTTCAGGAAAGCTGTTAACAGTAGTATCTCCATTTTCAGTCTCCTTCCAAGCTCTGTCCTGAGCTGTTTCCTTTGTAGGGGTCCGCCCCATTCTGTTGAGTGGGTTCCTTCCCTTTCTTACTTAACCTCCTTCAAATGTTGAATTCCTTCCTTTTCCCCTGGTCAGAGAAGGGGGCCAAGAGGGGAAGAAGGACTAGCCTTGGTCCCTAAAGCCTCCAGAAAGGCCCTCCCTATCCCCATCTTTTCTTACCAAAAACCCAGCCCTGCTGTGTACATATAGAAAGGTATGTATTACCATGTGAATATTTGGGTCATTCCTCCAGAGAGGGGACAAAGAGACCCTCTGTCTTTTGGCAACATCTCATCTCTTCCTTTGACTATTCCCTCCCCCCCACCCCACCCCAACCCTCACCCTTGGTTTTGTCCTATCCTACACTTCAAATTTCTATTTTGAGTTGAACTTGCTTTTTTTTATATATATATTGAAAAAGACAACATTGCCCCAAGAGCCAAAAATAAATGAGAATTGGAAAAAAAACAATATACTAAATTCAAATGGTAATCTAGAAATGCAAAAATCAATAAGATTTGAAGGACACAGCTAAAGCGTTGCTGAGAGAAAAATTTCTAGCACTAAATAATTTATGTATGTATGTACATATATATATTTTTAAAAACCTAGTGGATTAAAAATCTTAAGGATTATACATTATATTTTGAAACATGTCTTAGTTATATGTATGCATATGTGTTATGTCTATATGTATATGTATTATGTATATACTTATACATACATACAACAGATATGTTTCAAAATATTTTAAAGTTTAACCCTTAAGATTTTTAATCCACTAACTTTCTAAATGACACATTCTATATAAAAATAATCTTAGTTTTTGACTGGTTACGAAAACTAAACCTAATACATTCAGTTCCAAAGGCTGAGTGTGTGGTATTAATTGATGTCCTTGCTCCTGTTGGCTTGTGAATGTTTAAAATGTCCTAGGTATTTTCATGGCATTGCAATAATGGATATACCTTGTAAATTGAGATTTCATGCATGAAAAGGATCTATCTACCAAAAACAACTTAACTAAACCTCTTTTTCTACATTCTTTTTGCCATCATCTCTCTTCTACCACCATTATAGTCATTGATGGCTATGAATTCCACCAAGAACATCAATTCAACAATTTGGACACAGAAGCTACTAAGATCAGGGAGTTCAAATGAGTGTGCAATTGACAAGAGCAGCAGGAACACAAGGACCTTCTCAGGACCATTAAGCAAGCCCAATCAGAGCTTAATGGAGGAAGGCAATGAATAAAACTCCAGTGCTTCCAAACTAATATTGGCTATGTTGACTGTGTATCCTGGAATAGAAATTTGATCCTGGAACAGAAAAGGGACATTCATGGAAAAAATGGAAGAATCTGAACAAAGTCTAGTTTGTTTTTTTTAATAGTAAAATACCAATGCTAATTGCTTATTTTAACAAATGTGCCTTGGTTATGTAGGATGTTGACATAAAGGGAAAATGGATGAAGGGTATGCAGGAACTCTCTGCACTTTCTTTGTAACTCTTTTACAAATCTAAAAATATTTCATAATGTGAAGTTTTATTAATAAAAAACTAACTGAAATCTTGTGTACAAAGACTTGATAGTAAGGGCTTTGAAGCATGAAGTCGTGATTCTAGCAAAAACTCAATACATTGATCAAGAGCAATACAGACTTAAAAGAGATATGCCAGAACTGACTGGAACAACTCTTTTAGTCATATTGCTTAAAGATCACCACCACTTTCTAAGTGGTAATTCTAGAATGAAATCAGAACACATCACATATTTAAAATAATTTCACATAGATAATAATGTGAAATTTAGTGTCAGAATAGTTATACTACAGCAAGCCAATGCTTGCTGTATGCATTAGAAATGGCATAAAGAACCTTCAAATTTTCCATAAAAAGACATTTATATGCAAATATGAAGGTTAGGGAGAACACTGTAGAATACTTGGACTAAATAAAGACTGTCTTCAATCTCTGAAGTGAAGTATAAAAAGCAAGAAGCCCTTGTAGCAGACTAAGCAGTTTGGATTCTTAAGTTTCACCTGCAATATAAATTTAATTTTCCTCCACAATGAAGAATTAAAGTCCCATAAAGGTGAAATCTCTTCAAGCCACTTTAGTTTTTCCTCTAGACAGATTATAATTCCTTTCAGGAAAAACAATCAGAAAATCAGAAAAAAATTTAAAAATTTCAAAAAAATTCAGAAAGCAAGCTGGGGTTCTTTGCACTGATATTTTCTTACAAAGTACAAAAATGGAAGATGCTGGTCACTGTCCAGCCACTGTTAATAAACCTGTTATTGCTTCTATGTCTTTAGTACATTGTGAGAAAGTACATAGAATTTGATTCAAAAGTTAGAAAACCTGAGAGTGTGGCTAAGTGGTATTTAGTGCCATTCTGCTCCTTCAGGAGATTAGAAGGTGAGAAAATTCATATCAACCTGCAACATCCTGGCCCAAATATAGTGTTGAACCTGTGAAGGATTGTTCCCTGTGTCTTTTGAGGGACCAGCGCTCAAATGCATAGTTCTAAAAATTGAGTTAACTTTTTCTTTTCCTTTTTAGGATTCTGGAACAGTATTGGAAGTAAAAATAAAAAGATGACTATAATTAAAAAAAAACATAATTAAGCATTCAATCCCATTTTCTTCATAGAACACATAATAAAATGTAAAAGAAATTCTAGAGTAAATGCCATAAATAATAGAACTAATTAAATTAGGCAGATATCATACAAATTGAGAACAAATTTAGAGATGATAATTTTTCTCCCCTTAATTATAGCAGATTCTTCTCCATAAAGAATGAGTAAAATATCTCAACTATAATGAGATATCACCTCATTGAGACCAATGAATTTGAATCTGCAGTATAAAATGCTGTTGATGTGTCTAAACTTCATTATTCTTCAGATAATTCACAATTAAAAGACATTAAAGGGGTGCCTGGGTGGCTCAGCCGGTTAAGCACCTGCCTTTAGCTCAGGTCATGATCCCAGGGTCCTGGAATTGAGCCCAGTGTCAGGTTCCCTACTCAGTGGGGAGTCTGCTTCTCCCTTTCCTTCCAACCCTCCCCTTGCTCATGCTCTGTCTCTCTCAAATAAATAAATAAAATCCTTAAAAAAAAAAGACATTAAAATTAAAATATTTTAGGGTAATTCATTATCTCATGCTACTGTATTAAGGTAATTTGTAAATTATTAGTCTAAATTATTAGTCAATTTCCATTCAGACACAAGTCTAAGTGAACTTTCTCATTATCAACTCATAATTCTGTGTCAAAATGCAAAATAGTGAAGTGACTCAAAACTGTAGAAGTAATGTAAAGAGATAGTGGATACCACCAAAAAAAAAAAAAAAAAAAGAAAGAGAGAGAGAATTTTTACAGGTTTAAGAGGCTGGTATACTCTTCTCTCATTAGGATATGACCACTTACATGGTCAGGAATCTTTACATGTTTTAGTCACTGCTATATAATAAGATCCAAGACAGAACTCAAAATCCATGCTTTAATCTCCATTTTATGACTAGAATCTAGAAATCAAATAAGGTAAGCATGGACAGAGAAGAGTTAGCTAATTTTTTAAATAAGGCCTCTTTTTCTACTTCTTTTGTCAAGACAAACCATATTAGATTTAAAATAATAATTATTAGGGAAAATGGCAACAAAAAAAGCATGATAATTTCATATGGATTATTTGTAATGCTCTGTAGTAACAGTAATAATTAGATGGCCCCTGAATTCAGACCATCTGGTTTCCAATCTGAGATCTGACAAATTGCTGTGTGACCTTGGGCAAGTCACTTAAACTTTCTGCGCCTCCTTTTCCTCATCTGTATTTTGCAGACAATAATAGTACCTACTTCATAGTGTTGTCATGACAATTAAATGAGAAATAAAAACCGCTATTTAAGTGTTAGCTAGTAGTTGTAGCAGCATATCCTGACAATTGTTCAGTCTTTCTGTATGGACAACCCTAATCAAGGCAGAATGTAATAAGAAGTTCACCTCACAGATGAAATGCATACATAATAACAACTCATTGAATTTCTAATGACTTTCAGAGTTATAAACATTAATAATTTGTCTCTAAACAGTACTATGTAAATATAAAAAGAACATAAAATAAACTTAGAGACTGGGAATTACCTTTTTAACTTTATAATTACCTTTTTAAACCCATGCCTATAGCTAAAATCACATGTAAACTATCCTAACCATAGGTGATTTATTTAATATGTATTTAAATATAAATTAACATCTAGTATTGCTCATAATTATGGCTCTTCATTTTATTGTTATAGTTTTGTGATACATATTTGTTGCTTATTGTTTATAGCATCTTCTAGGTTATTGTTGGGATAATACTATTGATTTCT